CATTCATGATATGGTCTGGCTTGTAAGATGGCGCAACACCCATCAGGCACTGTTTGTTTCCATATTAGTTCCGGTTCATTGTCCTCTTTTCTGGAAATGAAAGGAAGTAAGTAGCAGGTGGGAGAACTAAGATGTCGGGTACATCAAGCATGGATGCCGGTCACCAAGCCAATCTTCCGAACTGTATGGAAATTCGATGTATAGCATGATGGCAGTCATCGGATTGTCATGTAAGATGTGGGATGCATCGAGTACGGATGCCGGTTGACACGCCAATCTTCCGAAATGTGTGTAAATTCAATATAAAACTATATCTCAGGGCATGTCTCAAACTTTTCGGAATTATGTTTGTGCAATGTATAACTTCTATGTATAATATTTAGCTAAGCATTTTATATTATATATACAAAAAGCTAGCTAAATAGACCCTAAAGGTATCGGGCTCATATATATATATATATACATATGTATATCTATCTATCTATCTATCTACCTATCTATCTATCTATCTATCTATCTATCTATCTATGTGTATATATATATTATATTATGAGGGTAGCAAGCGGAGGTAGTTCGGCTCTTATCTCGCTTCTGGGCTTGCGGGCCTCCAAGGTGCTCGAGTCCACTCCTGCCGCTGCCCAGGCATCCAAGGCTTGGAGGAAGTCCGGGCATCGGAACTCCAGCTCTGCAAAGCTCTTCGCCACCATGGACCTTTTGGGGTTTAGGGTTTAGGGTTTAGGGTTTAGGGTTTACCATGGACCTTTTGGGGTTTAGGGTTTAGGGTTTAGGGTTTACCATGGACCTTTGGGGGGGCAAGGAGGAAATGTGTCTCCGTTGAGCTTCCTTCCGAAGGGCATAGAATTGTGTTCGGGCTTCTTGTGTGCTTCTGCACCCATACTAGCGAGAGAGAACAAGAATCGCAAGAACCCACCCTAAACCCTAAACCCTAAACCCTAAACCCACTGGTTCAGCTCTATCCTGACATGTCCCCAAGTTTGCTACTTATGTTCTTGGCATCAACCAACAGGCACACCCATATCCACAGAAAGCGCTGGGCAGACTCACCGCAGCCTGAAGGTTGTGGAATGGAGCTATGACACATGACTATGGTTGTGGCAAGAACTGCGGCTTTCAGATTTCAGTCAGAGGGAGCATGGAACACAATGGCTTTGTGCTTACAAGTTCCATAGCTGTTCATAGCTCGGTGGTATGGCGAGGACCCCCTTTTCGCATCCAGGAGGCAGGCCCTTGCCGTTGAACCGGGTGGAGGTTTGAAGAGCTTGCGATATGGCACGGAGGGCGGGCATGTTGCGCACCTGGATGGGTGGTCTATGTTGTCTTAAGGCGAGGCTCTCTTCAGGCTGTGATAACACTGCTCACGACTGCCGAAGCTACCCTCAATCCCGAAACTTAGAGCTTCACCATCTGAGGAAACAGCCCCCAGCCGCCTTCATCCGAGCGAACGATTGTACCACTGCTGCCAGGAGGGCGGGCTTCATGCTCCTTTTTCAACGTTGCCGGGTTGAGGGCTTGGACTTCAGGGTTGAAGGTTGAGGGTTGCCCCTTCTGCGGTATTGTGTGGAACGTCTCTTGTGATTCCGGTGGGTGTGTGAAGCTGCGTACCTGACCTAACTCTAAACAGCAAACCCCCTGATTATCCTTTGTACTTAACCCCTTGTGATTCCTTGATGTCTTCTTCGAACCACCCTAAACCCTAAACCCTAAACCCTAAACCCTAAACCCTAAACCCTAAACCCTAAACCCTAAACCCTAAACCCTAAACCCTAAACCCTAAACCCTAAACCCTAAACCCTAAATGAGCGAGGCTCGGAGCTTGCTTGATGACCGAGGGCGCGATGCTGCGTACCATATCCTCGTCATGCCACTTCACGGCCCCGAAGGCCTGGGCTTTGAAGTAACCCAGGAGAAAAAAGTATAGACTTTCATTTTATAATGGTTCCTTTAAGGAACAGGTCCCAAAAAAAAGTATTAAAGTATGGTACTCCAAAGCCCAGAGGCATAGCATGCTGTCGCCAGCTGCCGTGCTGTCATGGCGCCTTCTCTGGAGAGCTGGGAAATTTCCACAAACTACGTCTGAAACCTCTAGAGTGCGAGGTCTGCTGCTTCGTGTCAAAGGAAACAGGAACTCAACCTAATCTCTCAAGACCGGGCACTCGCCAAATCTCCCGTTGAAAGTGAGGCTCTGGTCCAGAACGCAGGGGCTTCGACACCCATCTTAGATGCAGAGAACACCGTGTCCGAGACCTCCCCAGGAGTCATGTCTTGAAAACTGTAATCGAAGAAGCCACCCTCCTGCGTCAGCCGCGTCCAGGCTTTCGCGCTCAACGGCTTCTCAAAATTCTCGTACTGGTCCAGGCGACGGCGCCGTTTCGCAAACCATCGGACCCTCTGTGCGCCTGGCAGAAACTGTCCAGGGCAGAGCATACGATTGGAGACCCCGAAAGTGGCTTCACCAGTTTTTTGGCGATTGTTTCCACAACAAGACAAGAACGGCAGCAGAGTTTGAGTTATGGCCAGTTGGATATTGAGCCCCAACCATCCCTAATCTAGGGGCTTTTATAATTAGGATAGGGTGTTGGGTTCCTGTATGCTGTAGTCATAATAAAGAACCCCCAAAATAGTATATGTAATTAGTGCGGCCCCTATATTGCACAGTTGGCCCTCCTTGGAGAAGTGTCGCCACTTCTTGAGACTGCAGCCACACGGCATGGCTCGGGCGAGCCCACATGCTGGAGGCGGTTTGTGCTAGATTTCCTCACCTGCTTGGGCATTCTCTGTTGCTTCCCTGCTTTCTGCGACTTCTGCACCATGCGTTTTGAGCTTTCCCGGGCCTCAGGTGCGAGATTCACATCTAGGGACCTTTCATCAGCCCTGTCTCCTCGAAAAGTCTGCAGAAGCTTGATGCTCGCCAAGCATTGCACGGCGAAAACCAGTTTGCATGCTCAAACTGCTTGAATTAAATATCTGAAGATGTCTGTGTGTGTGTGTGTGCGCGTGTCAGAGAATCAGAAAGCAAGATAGGAGGGGGAGGGGGAGAGGCAGAGAGAGAGAGAGAGATTGAAGCGGCTGTCGTGGAGCTGCACATGCACACGACGCGACCTTTACTGCCTACACCTCCAAAGCCCAAGAGCCCGCAACCTAAACCATCAACCCCTAAACCCTAAACCCTGGACACTAACCTGCAAAACATGGTCTGCCCGGCTTCTCTTTTCCTTCACCGCAGGCACGCTCTGCGCCCAAATCCGCAGGGAAGCACTTTCGAGCGCCGGGCGCAGGCTTCCAAGCTTGTGATGCCTGGATGTGCGTGTGTCTATACATGTGTATATATATATATATATATATACATACATCAGGCTTCATTAGATT